CAATGCTGTTCTTAAATAAATGTGTGCTGACGAGACTCACAATAGTTGCACAGAATCACCCGGCGCATGCCATAATTTTGACTAGGGTTGTATTTTTTAGGAAACCTCAATATTTATGGTAAATGCGCGAAAAAAATGCGACAGTCACAACTGAATTCAAATAGGAATGTAAGATATCAGGTTCATCTCATACAACATAACTGGGAGGATGCAGTGGCAGGGACTATATAGTACCGCATAATTCAATCTCTAGTTTCTGTCAACAAAATAATCATTAAATTTTGAGCATTAGATTAACAAACAGATATTTTTGATGCTCACCCATTTGTTACTGTTACGACAAATAAGAATCGTGGTATATAGTAGGACAGTCAAGCGTGTTCAGAGGAGTGCAACAAGGATAATTCCAGGCTCAAAGGGCAAGTCTCATGAAGAAAGATTAACGATTATGCAGCGTTCTTAGTTATCAACGTTTGCGTGGCGACCTCATTGATGTATACAAGTATACTCATGGTTTTTGCAAGACCATAGAAGGATTGCTAGAAAACGAATCGAGAACCAACAGAGTGGACACGGTGATAAACTAAAAAATTACGGCGCAACTCATCTATGCGGCAACACTTCGATCTTCTCGCTTGGAGTCACTGCCATATAAAAAGTAGAGCTAGGAGTAAAAATAGATTCAAGGACAGACAAGATAAAGATATGCGGAGGTACATATATGTTTCGTCTAGAAGTGCCTCCCACCTCACAAACTGATGGATTATCGCAGCTACTTGTATTTATCTTCAGCGTCAGTTCTGGCCAGGATAGATCTGGCCAAAAGGTCAGTTCTCAGTCTCCAGGAGACGACAAATCAGGAACATTACAGTACTGGGCGACGCTGAAAACTTGCCTATGATACGGACAGGTCGTGAGACGTTGAGACTCAAATGAGCTCATTTGAGATAAGAATTTATTTTAGAAAACAGTTCTCATAACATCAGATATGAAGATATTTTCAATCGTTCAAATGTCTTGCGTGTGTTATCTCAACAAGTGCTGAATGAAATAAAACGTATATTGTAATGCAGCATGATTTTTTGTACTTTTGTACTAACAGATCGCTGAAGGTACTTCTTGATAGTTTTAGCTTTTTTAATGTATAGCAAGTTACGGAGAAAATTTATGAAATCTCATGTGTATACTAGAGAAATAAATGGACACTGCATAAGAGTAAGACATGCATATGTTTACGGGGAAATAATTATAAGACTCGTTTATGTGAATAAGATCTCGTATGGGATTAATAGGAAATAAGGAGTGACCTGGGTCCCTTACACAAGCCTGCAGCGGTGATGGTTCTTATAAGAACATCTCCCATACCCCAGGAGTTAGCCCCCCCCCCCCAAATCCCTTGTTTCAGACCGACGCCGTATCGTGATAGTTATGTAACGGAATTTAAGCTCATTTAGCAGGCTAATCAATGAACATCTATTGCCGACTAGAATTTTTCAAATAGTAAGTCTCAAATTTAACCATTTATACCATGGTCAATACGTTATTGCCGACCTTATGGATCTAGTAAATATAAGTATGAAAACAAAAGAGGTTCATCAAGTGCCAAATGTTTCCATTGCAATTTACAAGAAATTTTACTTAGTGATATTTTGCTGAGGCCAGAGAAAAACAATATTTTCTCTGCTTGACACAGGCAAAGCAACTAATGAGGTATATAGCTTTGGTATGAGGAGGTAAAATCTACAAATCCATATTTAACATCCGCAAATAAAAATTTGTTAGCAGTTTTAGTACCGGAAATGTAGCTTTCTTCAGAGAAATTTTACACCAATAATAAGTTTGATGAGAATTTCACTATATTCTACGACCTAACGTCTGGATAGTGTTCCCATGATCTAGTCTTCAACTGATCAAGCTTAGGGCCGCGGGCCGGGAACAAAAATTAGCAAGAATTATTACTAAACTACTAAAATTTCAAATGTAATCGTAAATGATTCCTAGAAGATAAATGTTCAATATAAAAAAAAATTCTCAATAAATGATGAAGCCTTGATGTTGAACAGCGCGTGACGAGTCGGAAATGGTCTTAGTACTGGACAACATTCAATAGAGGTCTTGATTAATGTGTGACGGCCTTGTCGCTTTCCTGGCAAAATAACGTGACCATTGAATCTTGAATTGTTATGCAGAATCTACCCGACCTCAGTGCGCAATCCCGGTGTTCGCAACGAGTACCTACAGATTTTTCGCTTGATCTGACTCTATAAGATCTCGATGAAATAACTATTCAGTTGTCAAGGATACTAAACCGATTTACACTAATTATTTCCTTTATTGCGTCAATCTTTTCAAGAACCCCGAAAGTTGACCTTTTTTCACATTATTTTTATCAATTTATTAATTATTTTTCCATCTTTTGCCATTTTTTACCATCGTGAAAATCTGTTCTGAATCGCAAGAAGAGCTACTGGCGGTATACTAGCTACGAAAACACATTGGGCAAATAAATTTAGAGCTTACTAGGAAATTTTGATTGAACAAAACCCACACAAAATAGATCCTGCAGCTCCAAAATTGATAGTTTACGAAATCTTACAGCGAGAGTTGGCTGTTTTCTACAGTTAGCAAGAAACATAATAATGTTTAGGCTCACCTCATGTCCCACAGACGACGCAGGAAGTATTCAGCAGTAGTGAGCAGAGGCAGCTTCCAAATCGCTGGCCTAAAGACACACTTTCAAAGGTCAAACATAGGCAACTTTCTAGCGTCTGTACCGAGAAATGAAACTGGGACAAGAGGGGAAGCATTAAATTCTTTCATACTAAATGAGCAAAATGTTACCTTATAAACAGAGTCTATTAGTGTATGTTTTCTAATATGTAAATTGTATGAAACTTTAATAATATGTCTCTTTTTTCATGAGAATTAGACTTGAACGAAACTAGCAGAAGATTCTTTTCGCTGCCAGAGACGCGGCAAGGCCGATTGAGGGAGAGCTGTGTTGCACCCTCCCTCTCTCGGCAGCAGCCGGCGACTCAATAACCTCACTGCGACACTGCCTGTATCAGGAGGCAGCCCACATGCAAGCGGTCTTGCTTTAACTTTGGGAAGGTGAGGATCTACTATGCATTATTACATTACGATTTTTATTCCGCTCGTGGTAAGGCTCCTAACAGTTTAAGCTCACAGTGCTCCAGATTGAGTACAACGCGATAAGGCAATATTAATTCGATTAATTTCTGTTATATTTTTAATCTTGGTATTCTGAAAGCGATAAATAATGTCGGTTTGTCGAACTCTGATCGGGCAATACAAAATTTTATTATGTGATTATATTATAGGGCAACCTGATTCATCAACGGTGTTTCAAACAAACTCAAAGTAATCCGTAATCAGCAATCACGCTTATAAGCCGCACACTAATATTTCCTCCATCACATTGGAATTCTCGTTACTTCTCAAACTTACCTTCACTTCTAATGTAAGCCTTATGTGAGTGTGGAAGAATGTGTGAAAGATTATTTAATGCCTATTGATCGATATATTTCAATTGAAGTTGTTGAAATTAAAAATCACTACCATGGCAAACTGAAAAATCGAAGCTGTAATTGTTTCGAAACAAAATCATGCAGACCCCAAGCGAATTTACAATCGTATTAAATGATGTAATTTTAAATCAAGTGAGACATACTTAACATCAAAGCAATGTTTAAGTAAAAATAGCAGCGAAACCGTTTATCCCTCGATTATGCCGTATATGATAATTAATTTATTTCCAAATTTTAAACTAATTGCACTTCACGACGTCATTTCATGGGTTGAACTGAAGAAAAAATACGCAATATCGACTTTCACAAAAAGCCCACCCGTAAACTTTATGGGTACCGGGTTGCATACAGGGCAGCCCGGTACGAAAACCGAGTAAAATTTCAGAGTGCGAAAACCGAGAAGATTCGATGACGATTCTAAGTAAAAAAATATAACTCAGTACTCACTGCAGTGAGTGACAGAGAACGCATTTTCTCAGAATCGACGAAACAGTCACGGACAGACGGACGGACATGACGAGCACAGTAGGGCATTTTTTCCATAAATTAAAAAATATAACTCAGTACTCACTGCAGTGAGTGACAAAGAGCGCATTTTCTCGTCGACGAAAACTTGAGGTCACGGACAGACGGACAGACAGACAGACAGACGGACAGACGGACATGGCGAGCACAATAGTGCATTTATTCCATAAATGAGAAAATGCTCTAAAAATGCGCTAATAGATGATAACAACGGGGCGCACAAACAGCTTTGAGGAGTCCATGATCCTCACCGGGTTGTAGCATCAAGGCAATTTGGTAAGAAAAAAGCTATGAAAAAAATTAAAGCAAATTATTCCAAAGAATTGAAGTTTTTGAGTAATTTTAATCAAGTAGCGCTTAAAAATTTCATAATATCGATAAAACTCCACTGAATTTTTTAGAGCTCACACACAATTGCTACACAAATTTTAAAGTGCATATCAGGTTTCAGGGCCCAAAACCCTATGAAACTTGTTCGAAAAGCGAAGAGGAGTAAAAATGTTTTGTGAGCCTCGCGTTGCAGGAATTTGCATAAGTAGGAATGAAACAATAATGAATTTTATATTCTAAAGAAGCTCCAATATAAGGCAACGACTAAGACGAAAATTTATTGGAAGTATATCGATATGTCTTATCCAGGACACTGACCTAGCTGCACTATACGTGGATGTTATTTTACGAAATATGACGACGAAGTGATCAGTTCTCAGAGCCTCTCTTGAAAAATTTAGGTCCAGTAATAATGTGTCAATAGTTTCATTTGATTTTCAATTGATTCTCCACTAATATTCGGAAACAAGTAAACAACTTACTGGTGTTGTGCTATGATTATTATGTTAAAAGACGGTCGGTAATATTTAACGCGGAATAAACGAAGCCACCGTTCAACACGAAATATAAGAAGAAAGTTTTTGGGCAAATGCTTACCTGTATTAATGACGACATCTTTTATGTTTCTTTGATCATAGAAAATAGATAATATTAAATTTCATAATATTGATATTATTTTCCGAACCAATGTCTAAGCAAACTGACAACCATTAGTCACTAGCGATGAACTAATAAGCAGACAAAGAACGATTCATCACTGAACTGCTCGAATCACTAGGGATGAACTAAATTTACATCAGCCTTCTAGACAAACTAAAGTTTAATTCGGCTCTTTCGGCTTCACGTGAGCGATTGAGACCTTTGGTTCTCGAGACCAAAAGACCTGCAGATGCCCACACATCGGACCGACGGTTCCCAAGTTGGTACGTGACGGCGATCATACACTGGACGTCCTCAGCAAAAAATATCAAGGATGAAGCTATAGAGGCTTACGTGACACACCGGCGTAGCATCGATGAAGCGTGAGCCCGAAAAGAAATCAATTTTAAATCACCATTATTCCAGAGAAACTTATATATGCGCTATTTATTCAAATATAACGTAAAATGTTGCGATTTTACTGCTATAATATCTAATTTCATTTTTCATGGATGGAAAAAGGATCGCGAATATCCTTGTAAATAACAAAATGCTAGTAGCAACAAGACTCTTTTGCTCATACAGCGCGCCTGTGGCGATTGGGTGAGTTTTTGTCAGGGGTGTGTTCGGCAACTTCGGCAGACGCACGTGATATGAGCTGCCTCCTTAATAACAACATGCATGGCAGGCTGCAGGAAAAAAAATATTTTTGCCTGGATTTATGGAAGTCTTGCCTACAAGCCGAGTTTCGATGCCCTTGTTCAGAGCAGTGAGACGTCGGACTTACTGTGCCGGATCCTATGTTATTCCAGAACGAACACCAGGGATCACGGATATAAACTAAAACAACTACGGGGCAACTCATCAATGCAACAACATTTCTTTTCGATGCGAGTCTTCGACATGCAGGATAGACTCCCTGCTGATATCGTTGAGCCTCCTAGTATGAACGCGTTCAATAAGAGACTAGACAAAGCTATGCAGAAGCATGTTCGGACTTGAAATGCCTAGTACCTTACTAACCTAATAATAGGTCCAATAGCTATTTCAAACCAACGGCAGTGTTGAAAAGATCTGGTCAAATGGCCAGTTTTTAGATTTTTGAACAAGGCACAAAGAGTAGAAGGATAGGCAACCTGACATGGGCCTATTTCTTAAGCGCCGACACCTCTACTCTATTCTAAGCTGGTGTAGTTTGGCAGAAATTGTTCTTTATTAAAGGTTTCATTGGGGTCGCCTGCCGAAGACCACAACTGCCCTGGATGTAATGGACCATCATGATTCATTGATTCCTGCCTTCCAGAACGTAGCCTTCAACACTTCAAGCCATTCGTATCTAGGCCGTGGGTCGAACCAGCCCTCGGTCGAACGGCAACTTGTCGAAGGACGATAAATTTTGGAACAGAACTATGCTATCTGAAACCTAACCTCAGATTCGGTGAACGTAAAATTACGTAATTTAACGATGCCCGAAAGTCAGATTCGATCCGCGGCCTGGTGGTGCACGGCAGGTGGTGGTCAAGGCCGGAGGAGGACAAAGCCGAGTGGTGCACGGCTGATTGGTGTATATCCGGAGAGATCCAAGGCGTTCGATTCATGGCTTATTGGTGCACAAAATTAATGGTGCACGACTGCGCTCCCTTTCATTGAAGACGAAATATTTCAATTTGACGCGCATTAAGTCGCATTTCAAAGAGAGCGTTTAGCTGCAAAAACAATTACTAATGCACTTCAAATTGGTCTGGCATTGAACGAGAGTTTCAGAGTGATAGGGAAAATTGTTTCAGTATCAAATCAAAAAGTTGCACCTAAGATGGCAGCAGACATTCAAACTCAAATGTCTGTCAGTCTCAAATGTGACATTGTAAGTAAATTTAAGGACTAAATTAAGGACCACAAAATTGTAAAAATGATACATATGTAAAAATAAATTGCAATATGAGAATATTCATGGTTTAATTATATGAGTTTACCTTATGGTTTAACTAGTTCATAATATACTAGTTCAACTATGTGAACACATAATTTATTCTTCGAGGTCGCAACTCGCAACCGTAATCCGCAACATTGGCTCAGCTGTTCTGTTTTTTATTGAGGAGCAACTTCAGCGTTAACTTAAACTACCTACAATTTTACTGCATAGAGCATATAGCATCCCTTATCTCTAATCAAGTAAGGAATGGTATTGAAAAAGGGCGGATCACTCGCCATCTTTTACTTATTTTTAAAACATGCAATTTGTGCATCTATTATGTCTCTAAGCCCTAAGTCTATGAGACAACTAATATAACACGGTAACACCAGAGACTAACCAGCGTGACCAGACTGACAGCAGACAGAACTGACTGACTGAGTCAGACACCACTTTTGCATCTAGTTATAGTCTAGTACGGTAGTACCTATTAGTCTATTACCTAAGTCTACTATGTCCCTATGTCTGTCTATCATAATGAGACAAGTTCAGGCAAGAGGCAACTAATATGTAACACAAGTTACAGCACTTCCCTCTTATCTCTTAAACTTATGAATTTCATGGAATTCAGAATATTGAATTCAATCTTTATGTTATCCATGGTCAGGAAGGTGCAGCATGTATGCCGGAGGTTCGTTTTCGGATGTATGCCAGGGAAGAAAGTTGCCAATATGCTTGCTAAAAACGGAAGTGTAACCCTCGTCCCTCGCCAATGCTGCATGATCGACACAGGCTGACAGGCACACATACTTTACGATTGATGCCTGGCGATTGTCACAAACACACGTGCTTTACGACATAGTGGCAAACATAGTGGCAAAGCAGAGAGTTTTTTAGACTCTCCCTCAAGTTCATTTTTGACTCCCATAAGTAGACCAGTAAAGTATCCTGGATACCAGCCTTATCATACATAAGAAATTTGTTTAAATCTTGGGTAAATGAGGAAGTTAAAAATGAACTGATTCTAAAAAATCTCTGGTTTGTCAGTCTATGGTGGCAAAGCAGAGAGTTTTTTAGACTCTCCCTCAAGTTCATTTCTGAGTCCCATAGTGGCAAAGCAGAGAGTTTTTTAGACTCTTCCTCAAGTTCATTTTTGAGTCCTATAAGTAGACCAGTAAAGTATCTTGGATACCAAAATTTTCATACATAAGAAATCTGTTAAAATCTGGAGTAAATGAGGAAATTAAAAATGAGCTGATTCTAAAAAATCACTGGTTTGCCACTATGCTGAGCATAGTGACAAACCAGAGATTTTTTAGAATCAGTTCATTTTAATTTCCTCATTTACTCAAGATTTTAACCAATTTCTCAAGTATGATAATGCTGGTATCCATGATACTTTACTGGTCTACTTATAGGACTCAAAAATGAACTTGAGACAAAGTCTAAAAAACTCTCTGCTTTGCCACTATGATGCTGAGTCCTATAAGTAGACCAGTAAAGTATCCTGAATACCAGCATTATCATACTTAAAAAATTGGTTTAAATCTTGAATAAATGAGGAAATTAAAAATGAACTGATTCTAAAAAAGCTCTTGTTTGCCACTATGCTTTACGACCTATATAGCTGATGCCCAATGATCAACACTGATGCGCATGGTGCAATTCTATAGGTTATTGATTATTCAAAAGAACCTGGTCTTATGTCATTTTGAACCGATCAATGCTTCTTTACAGACTGATCATGTAACACAACCTTCCCCGGCAAAAGCTTTCTTACTTCTGAACTTCTGAAGAAAGGGGCGGTTCGCTGCGTCAGCTGACACTGGCCATGGGCGGGCCTTATTTGAATTTGAACACATGCATCCATTTGAAATCCTATACACATAGTATACAAGTCAAAGAGCCTAAATTTTTAATATCTATATAAAAAATGTACGTTTCTGCATGGATTATAATGCTGTTAACATTAACAAACTTTGAATTATCTCTAATGCAAGATTGCAGCAAGAAATACTCAGAGCTGGGCAGCGCTACTTGGAAATGTAGTGGCGCTACCGCTACCGCTACATGCTCTAAATGTAGCGGGCGCTACCGCTACCGCTACATGCTCTAAATGTAGCGGGCGCTACCGCTACCGCTACATGCTCTAAATGTAGCGGGCGCTACCGCTACCGCTACACCCACTAGATTGTAACGGGCGCTACCGCTACAGTAAAATGTAGCGCGCTACATTAGCCGCTACAATGGCCAAAATTATTGGTGGCCAAAATTATTGGAAATCTCTAAATATTTATTGTTCTGCCATTGGGATTTTCTCATTAACTTGAATGATAATAAAACATTTTTAAAACATATCAATGCAACTTTATTGCAATTAACCTAACCGAACTAGTATGGGTTACCCCAGGGTTAGATACAGTAAATAGAAGTTATAGTTATTTTTATGTTTTACCTTCCCTACATGGATGTGAACTTTAATCTACCAATCTAATAAATTATCCACATATACATATAAAAATCAGTCTTTTTTGTATATAGGTATATGTGGATTATTTTTGAGATTGGTAGATTGAAGTAGACATCCATATAGGGAAGGTGAAACATAAAAATAACTGTGTAAAAATAACTGTAAGCAAACTGAGAGATGAAAAAACCTGTAAGTGGTAACTGGTAACAACTTAACAAGTAACAACTAACATGTTGACACTAGTAACAGGCTGAGGTTGACAACATTACAACGAAATCTTTCGTACAGTTTTATTCTGTAATTTATATTATGTATGTATCATGCTGGTTTTTAAATAATATTTAATACTATTAAGGGGACCGGCTACCCTAAAAATCGGAAATTTTGGCTTTACCGTTTTCTTCACTCATTTTGTAGCTGCTGAAAAGGCGCGTCTAACACAGTTTACCGCATGTCTGTGCGTGCTATAATTTTTGCGTAAGACAATTTTAAAAATATATATATATATATGAAAATTTTTAACAATATTTACAGAGATTTATTTGAATTAAATCTGTATATATAGATTATTGCTCTCGTTAATTACAAAGTGTTTGCACTCGTTTGAAAGCTACAAACGAGATGCGTTCAACAAAGCTACTACCAAGAGGTACATGCAATATTTTTTTGTGTAATGCAGTCTTGAACTTTTATAAAATGATCATTTTATATCATTATTTACAAATAAATGGTATTTATGTCATTATTTAGGTTAATTGCAGTGTTTGCACTCGTTTGAAAGCTACAAACAAGACGCGTTCAACAAAGGTACTACCATGAATGTTCATGCAATAGTCTTTGCGTAATGCAGTTGTAAAGTTATGTAAAATGAATATTTTATATATATATATGTATTTATATATAAAAAGTCCCATTTATAGCCTATTATTCACGTTAAATTGAACATAAATAGGTCTAAAGACGCGTGCTGGTACCTTGAATGCAAATAATTGGCAATGGGAAAGCTTGGGCTGCAATATCAAGACTTTTTGGGGCATATTCTTCTGTTTTCAATGAATTTTACTTTATTTGGCTCCGCTGAACAATTTAACAATCCAAAAAACGCCATCTTAAAAAAATTATAACTCCAACAGTTTGGGGGGGGGGGGATAAAAATGTGAAAAAAATGGGTAGAACGCGAAAAAAAGCGATGGGAAAAATAAAAAATCAGGGCTCTACAGTCGCTAGATATTGCTGTTATAAATCGAATGATAATGTGTCTCGACATTGTAGCATGTGATTTGCAAAAGTTATAAACTTTTTTAGAGTACCCCTTATTTGCCGTTTTCTATTAATTCCACGTTTTCTTTCATTTTTTTTATATTTACATGAACAAAAAGGTCTTAGATTTCTGTTTTACATATGTGTACCAAGTTTCAAATGATCCGTTTGTAAACAAAAAAGTTTTGTTGGAGGGTAGCTGGTCCCCTTAAGTAAAATCTAAAGGCTTTATCTATAAATGTAGCGGTAGGGCTGTAGCGGCAAAACCTCGTATCGCTACTTAAATATGTAGCGGGCACTACCGCTACCGCTACATTGCCTTAAATGTAGAGCCGCTACCGCTACTGAAAATGTAGTGGCCGCTACATGTAGCGCGCTACTGCCCACCTCTGGAAATACTTGCTTAAACAATTTTATTTTCAATATAAGCGACTGGATGCAAAAATTGGTTCGCAAGAACCAACATAGGCTGGAACAACAGTAATTTCAATTGATGTTAATTTCTAAATTAAAATGTATTTAGCCAGTATTACTTGCATCAGAGATAGTTTCAAGTATTTAAATGCTAACAGCATCAAAATCCACGCAGAAACGTAAACTTTTAATAGGTTTTAGACTAAAATTTACGCTCCTAGTCCAAAGAACTGAAAGCGATTTGAAATAAAAAATGACAAATGAATCGATTGCGCTTTCTGGCACCTTCTGTCACAGCTGTTTGCAGTTTCAGTGCATTTTTTTAGCATAAGTTGCCAATACGTATTTAATGTAGTCTTCCCTTGTTACAAAACTTACAAAATAACCTTGAATTATTGATTGCTAATTTCTTGCCTTAGGTAAATGTTTATGATTCAAATTGATCATAGAAGTTGTACCCATAGAAGTAAAATTACCCATAGAAGCTTCAGATGCCAGTGCTAGCAGCGGTAATCAAATGAACTACTTTATTGTTAGTATCTTCACTAATAATATAATAATATTGTATTCTGTTTGGGTCCAGTCTCTTGAAGTGTTCCAGCAACATATTTTCCATTACTAATTATTTAAATGTATTAACTTGTGGTTTAGTGAGATATTGAATTGTTCAAATTCTAAACAAAGGTGGCATGCCCGCATTCAGATGCCAGCGCTAGCAGCGACAATCAAATGAACTACCTTTATTGTTAGTAGCTTCACTAATAATAGAATATTGTATTCTGCTTAGGCACAGTCTCTCAAAATGTTCCAGCAACATATTTTCCATAACTAATTATTTACATTTATTTATTTGTGGTGCAGCAAAAATGCGAAATATTGCATTGTTTGATGTCTTGTTGTGTGACGTGTTCTTGTGTTGTTGTGTGATGTCACCGCAGGGCCGCCCTGCAAGCCGTATGTAAACAAAGGCCCACAGCGACAGCAGTGATCCCAGTGAATATGGAAAGTGGAAACAGTTCAGCATTGCGATCGATGTTATTTGTGAATAAATAATATTTTCGATTGTGATATTATAACATATTTCTGATTGTGAAATAATTTTGATTGTGATATTGA